AGCCCGGTTGCAATTGTTCATATTGACGCACCAAATAAGGAGACTTGGGGGTAGCACATTGCGACGACGCCGTCACCTATAAAAAGCAGCTGAGAGTAAGCAAAGTGCATTCAGGCGGCATACCAAGGCCCGCTGTTATTTTGTCATTGTGTGTATGTGTCTTGTGTGGAGATGGAGGGGAGTTGGGTTAGCCAGCAGAAATAGTGCTCAAACCACCCTGCTGAGGATCCAGGCGAAAAATAAAATGATGACAGAACATTGTTGTCCCGCCGTTCCTCCTCTTTTTATTGCCTCTCAGTGCTCACATAAGCGTTGGCTCTTCAGCTCCTGCGCCCCAGTGGCATAGTGGCAGGAGCCTACCAGACCTGTTTTGACACTAAAATGGCTTTATATAAGGGACGTGATTACATCAAAAGATATTTTGTTAGGCTTTTGGAAAACTATGGAAACAAAAATGTTTCATGGCTGGATCGCACCAATTAATTAATAACTTAACCATACAGAATCAGCGACATATGCGAGATTGTTTCCCTAGAAGACCTCATGAATCCACTTTTAATGTAGCGTCCAAAAAGTTCGTGTCATAAAATAGAACATTTAAACTGCGTTGCTTCATGTTACATGGTCAAATGGGCTCTATGAGTCACAAATGGATAGTAGATAAAAAAAAATAGACCCTTCTTATGTAAGCATGTCAGCATACTTTGCTTGACGCGACACAAATAACCTATCTAATGAAATGGTACATGTACAAACGTTCTGATTTAATATTCAACGCGAAAACAAATCATGGATAGCATTATAAATCAGAAAGAAATGACCGCAACACTTGACACAGATATTTCGTCAGCTCGTTCATCCTCTCTGTTACTAATGCGCGAGAAGTCACAGTCAACATAAGCCCAAAGCTCAACGTAACTCTCCTGTTTATGAGTGTTGGCTTCTCTGAGATGTCCTTGGGCTAATTGCCTCTGTTTAACCGAAAAACCAACTTAGCACTGTGCATCAAGCTTATTTCGCAGGATCAAGGCCAGTGGAAAGGGAAGAGAAACTTGAGCGGGGGGCGGTGCGCGGAGTGATTCATCGCACTGAAGTGCTGGCAGCTCAGGCTGAGATTAGCTCGTCGCCAGCTCTGACATCGCGAGATAAAGTCAGCGCAAGTCACTCTATGACAGCAGTTACGACAATAAGACACATGCAGCAGGTCAGAGTCAAGTCAAGTGAAGTGAGGCTCAGAGACCCAGACACAGGCTTCGAGAGAGAGAGAGAGTCGTTTTCGGGCCCTTTCTTTTTTTATAAGCACTGTATCTGTACCGCAAACATACAGTAGAGAAACATGTACATGGCACCGCCGACCACACACACCCACCAGCTCACTCACGAATGCATCTGTCAAATCAATGACAAGTGTTTAGCAAGAGTATGACACTATGTTATTGCGCTGAGTTTAGCATGTGGACAGTGCATAATTGCAAGCATTAGGTGCAATTTTTGCACTTAAATGTGGGTATGTAACGCTTTATTTCAGAACTGACCTAATACTTCCATGGAATGGCAGTAAGTATACTGTCAAATTCTATAGGGCACCTCGAGCGTGGTTTCTCACAAACAATTTTAGCCTACCCACTTAGATAACCATTAGTGCAGGCTAAGCGGTAATCTTCAACCCCTCGATTCCGGGCATCTTGTTCATCTTGCGACTGGGTCATGATTTCCATGATTCTATCAGATGTGTCCCGCCCTCGCGCTCCGAATATATATTACATACATCAAGAAGAGGGAGAGGACACAAATGAAAACCACACACACCACCAAACCAAGCAGTTCACAAGCAGAATCTCTAACTATATTCAGAAATCTGAACAAAATACATCTTGACTGAACTGCACCTCGTTCGGCCTCCCGCCTGCTTATTCCACAAAAGACATATTGTAACTGCCATCACCGTTATCGAGTAATAATAGTACAGACGATCTGTCCTTCCTTTTCTATTTGCTCTTTTTGCGAGTTCTTCTCGCCCGGCTGAGACGCGGATCGCACACGCGCCCGCTCAACATATACACACGGCACGCGTCGCCAGCGCGCCGTATCACAACGCTGCAGTTCCACGTAACTTCTTATCTCCTTCCAATGAAACAGGACGGCGCAATGTGAAAAAAACTGCTTCGTTATTTAGGCCAATATAACTATCGCATTACTCCAACCAGCCATTTTTATCATAATAAACGTGGTTAGAGAAGACTTTAAATGTCAACAGTACGTAATGTTATGTATCGTCAAGGCTTGATCACTCTGCAGCTTGCCCCAAAAATTGAATAACTACTACAGGGTAATGAAAAAGCCTAACAGTCTCTGGCACGGCTGCCATAGACACAACACACTTTGTACGGCAAGCATGTTTTATTAACCTTTAATACCCGGATGCGAACATGTTTTGTCTATAAGTAGTCAGAAAAAAGTCAGAAAAAATGGCTTGATTTCTGAAAAGGTTGCGAAAAGCAGCTTTTGATGCGCAAATGCCAGCTTTAAATATTCTTGTATTATGACTCAACTCTTTGGTGGGGCATATTCCTTCTCCCCATCAAATGCTTGTAGGATTAAGACTATCATCTTTAAACGCCTTGGCCCTGTTTTGGTTCGCTCACTGCTTTTTACCTTAACCCTTAAATGTAATCTTTGTAATGAGCATGTTAAAGTTATAGTCCACATTTCATAGTTAATAAAAAAAAAAAAAAAAAAAAAAAAAAAAAAAAAAAAGTTATCTTGCGTTTATTAGATAGTTTTTTACGCTAATATGAACTTTTATAGAGATATGTGTTTAGCTTTAAGCATTAGGCCTTAAGAACTGAAAGCCAAGGGAAACAAATCATTTCCAAAGGGTAAAAAGCACAATTCAAATCACCAGGCATCTCCCTAAAAGCTCACTTATAAAAATGTTCTTATGTCCAATTTGTTGAAGTTGGTACTACAGACACAGCACGGTAACGAGAGAGCGTTTGCGGAGCACATAGGGCTTCCATAAACGTATGAGGTTTGCCGCTCGGTTTTCGTTTCACGTGTTCTAGCAGTAGTTCTGGCTTTCAAAAGAGTGTTCGGTGGAGGCAGTTTGGTTTCTTAGTCGCAGTATAGGAAATATAATCCTAAATCGTTTTATCCTTGAAGTTATACTTGAACAATGTATTCCTGTCAACTATTGTACGACCATTTATTATTTATTATTGCTAACTGTTATTTCCAGCCAGCCACAGTATCAAAATGTGTACAATGCCATTAAGTACTACCCACATGTTTATTATCCCTCTCCGGGTGTCGTCACAGTGGCAGGGGCGGGGGTTGCGGGGTGTTGGGTGTGTGTGCGTGTGAGGTGATAATTTACAACATCACCCTCCCTTTTTAACGTTATTCTTTTTTTAATGTCATATAGTATTTCATACCTGTTTTTAATTTATTCTCTTATTTTTTTATAACTATAATGATCATATAAACGTGGGGCCTCGGAAATAATTGTTTACATTAATGGTGACCAAAACGTTTGAGACCCACTGAGATAACACTGAGAGTCCTTTAGCTCACTGAGTCTCTCATTCTGACAGGAGAGGACTCTCCTCCACTTTGTTGTTGAAAAAACTCCTTATATCCGTTAGCGTAGCTCGCTAGCACCAGAAGCTAACAACAACGATCTCCGGTACCGGTGCGCTCTCACTCGCGCACGCACACAAAATGGCTCGTTCCACACACACACACAGAGCCAAACTTTAATGAAACACAGAGACCCAGACGTAATAGTACTGTATAATATTATTTTCGAATCAATAATTTTTAAAACATCTTTTTTTTTTTTTTTATGTTTTCTTTTTTTTATAACCATTTTTCCTCCTGGTCTCTCGCGCCCCCCCTGTCATGCCTCTGCGCCCCCCTGGGGGGGCGCGCCCCCCACTTTGAGAACCACTGCCTTAGAGCTATAAATAGAGTAGCAAGGGGGAGTAAACCTATTGATCAGTCTATAAACAAAGAAGGATCTCCAACTGTTTTGATTATCAATTAATTACTTAAATAGTTTATCATCCAACAAATGGCACAAACTGCTGTTTTCAGGCTCTTAAATATGCTTTTTTTTAAATATCATATTTACCTAGATATTTTTGGGTTTCGGACAAAACAAGACATTTCAAGACAACACCTTGGACTGGGATGGACATTTGTAACTATTTTCTGAGTTTTCGTAGACCAGACCACTTATCAATTAATCTAGAAAACAATGAAAGGATTCATTGCTACTGAAACATTATCATTAGTTGCAGTATTAGTGTAGAATGTAGAGATATTACATGACTTGGTCTACCACCTAAATACATTCACACCAATAGAATAAATAGCATATGTGTGATTGATTGTGTGAGGATTTTACCCTGAGTGCTGATTCTAGTCCTTCTTTAGCGCGGTCCATGGACACAGACCGTTTATTCTCAAACATCTTCACTCTGTTCAGCACCGACTGCGGCTTCATGGCCGGGTCATCTTCCAGGTCTTCCCTCAGCGGAGGAGGGAGGGGTTTGGAGCCGGGAGTGGTCGCTGGCTCACCTGGGGAGGGCAGGGTCTCCGGTATATGGGGGGGAAGTGGAGGTTCGGAGTTCATCATAGGGTCGTGCATCCCCTGCTTGAAAGCCCTGCTTGGAGGCCCGGGAGTGTAGGCGGGCCTCAGACCAGAGTCACTGTAATACTGCTTGGGGGGGTCCGGCGATCGGGGTGAGTTAATCGGGAAGCAGTGAGGTTCTGCATCGTAAGGAGAGCGGGCGTCATAGCCAGCAGGGGGCGGGGGTGGGGGCTCGTCGTAACGAATGGGCCCGGGTTTACTGTGGCGGCGTCTTCCATCGTAGCCCACCGGTGGGGCCTCATCGTAGCGTGGCTGAGGGGGGCTGTAGTCCCGCCCTGGACAGTCGTCAAAGGGGGAGCGGGGGCTGTAGGCCATGGGTTGCTGGTGGCCCGGCTGGTACCCCCCCCCGGGCTGGGACGAGGTCTGCTGGTCGTAGGGGGGCCACTGCTCGTTGTAATGAGGCACACGGTTATCGTAGTGCAGGTGAGAGTCAGAGTTGTGAGGCTTTGGTTCTGTGTAGCCGCCGCTGTCGTATCCGTAAGGCGGGTGGTCGTATTCACGGTATGGCTGTTTGTCCTGGTACGGCGGCTGGTGACTGTAGCTCAGAGACTGCTTCAGGCCATGGTTGATTCGCACGGGGTCCTCCATATTGTACAGATCTTTCTTGTACATCTGTGAAGAAACAACACTGAATTAACACACACACATTACATCATCATCATGTCGAGGTTTCAGCAAATCACCATGATGGAGGACAGAAAGCACTCAGAGAACAATAGTTTCCCAACACCAGATTAAAAATAATTTCAAGGTGGTCAAACTGAAATCTTGAAGAACTGAAAATGTGAAACAATAACCAAATCATTAGAAAATAAAATCCTCAAACCATTAAATTAAGCAAACATCAATTCAAAGTGCAATTACACAAGCAAACCCTTGTCCATTATTCAAAAACTGTTCTGAATGCCTGTTTGACAAGATGCCTCTCAATAATGATAATAATCCATGTGGACACGTCTTGGTTTTACACATTAACACATTTATAAATAGTAAACTAACAAGCAATTTGCACATTTCTGAGAGGCCTCATTTCAAACATATGATGTGTAGCCTGTAGACAGCAAACATAGTTACAGTACTTCCTATGGAAGAGTGTTGATTTGTTGGCATCATATCCGACAAAACGACTCAACAGAGGACACAATGCAGTGTGCTGATGTAAGTTTGTCATTCCGTGGGGAGAATTGCTTGAGGGAAATCATTACCAGGAGTACTGTCTGCAGGTTAGCGTTCATCATGCAACCAACATTCAGTTTGCATCTAATGCAACGTCAAACTACAACAGACGACACATCTACCATTACGATGCCAATGTAAGTGCTACTATCGTTTATCTACAGAAGAGAGTTAAAGCTGAAAGGAACCCAAAAACATTAGGAGCCATGCAAAGGAAGTAAGAGCAACAGTTAGGGCTGGCTGTGGATGTCTTCACCCGCGTCAGAGACTCAGATGCCCCAGTCCTTCTGGTCTCCCAGCCCACTGTGGTGCATGTGGACAAGTCTGTCGCACATTTTCTGGGAGCCAGAGGCACACAGTGGGCTCAGTGAGGCACACAGTGTGGGCGTGTCATGCAGAGAGCAAGTGGAAAGCATGTGCGAGAAGACAGGCAGTTTAAACAGCAGGCTGGGGCCCAGGCCCGGTCCGAGTGGCTGGTGAAACAGCGGGTACCTTTGTTTCTGGGCCAGACTGGTGGGGTTCAATAAGCTCAGGGGCAGAGCTGGGGCTGCTAAGTGAGTCAGCCTGAGGAGCTGCGGCTGCAGCAGGCGGCTCCTCGGGGTGCAAACCCTCAATCTGTACAGACTGCTCAACAGCAGGGGGCGCTACCACCGTCTGAGCAGCCTCCTCTTGCTGTGAAGTATTGTTAAGAGACATTTATAACACAGCCTGCATACACAGTACCGCTCACCCCAACACAGACCTTTTTACTTACACTGAATCAGTTTTACACCAGCCAGAGAATGTGGTTAGATGATAACATACCGGTAGCTTCTAAAACAGGTAAAAAAACTTAGCAAAGGACATTTAATCTTAACAAAGGTCAGGACACAACACTGAACACAAAGAGCGATTCCTCAGCGCTGCAGTACTTAAAGTCATTCATCCTTCTCTGAGGAGCACAGCCTGCAAAGCTAGAAATGAACTTTACCTGCTGCGGAGCGGCCATCTTGAAGCCAGCAGGGTCTATGCGGCTGGCTGGGTCGGGCTGCACAGGGTGCTGGTATCCAGGGTAACCAGGGGTGTCCTGAATCACGGGCGGGTCTTCTCGCACGGGCTCTGAAGAGCGGGTGATGGCGGGCTCCGTGGGCAGACCCACCTCGTCGTTCAGAGTCTCGTCCAGCTCCTGGTCCGTGTACGCCCCGCCCTCCGTGTCCGTGTCCTCGTAGTCTGAGGTGTGGCGGCTGTCGGTGCTGTACATGGAGTACTCACTGCCCGGGGCCGACAGGTAGGACAGGCGGTCGTCATGGATGTCCAAGTCATCCTCTGTAGTGCCATCAGCCTGAGAAAAGTGAAGAAATGATCATCCCATGTGTGACTCAGTTACACTAAAATAATGATAGAAATATTGCTCATTAAAATAAAATATGAAAAGGGTCTCTCACCTTGCCCTCTGATACCCACACCAGCTGGTTCTGCTGCTGCTGGGTCGTTTCTTTCAGAGCTCCGTACCAGCCATCGTTCATATTGTTCATGTTGATGGTGGCTAAAAGAGAATATTTTCAAATGAAACCACAGTCACTTCCTGAAGAATAAGATTTAAGAGCAAAAGAGAGTTTGCATGTTGAATGTTCTGTGTCCTCTCTGCACACTCACTGGTGAACAGGTGGTGATTATTCTTCCTCAGTTTGAGGGCTCTCTCATAGAGCTTCCTGGCGCTCTTCCTGGACTCTGAACACAGTCTGGTCCTCATGTTCTTCACGCCCTGCTTAGTGTCAGGGTTAAGGAAGACTACAATCGGGTACCACTGAGCATAGTTCAGCCTGTCCACAGCATTCGGGGTGATGTCCAGGACAGCATGTTTGTCCTTCATGAGGAAAACAATAGGGATATATCAGTGACAATCAAATCAAAGCTATGATATTGATGCATCTCATATGTCGAGGAGGCCTACTCACTCTGTCAATTATCTGCTTGATGGTGTGAAGACGAATGATTCCTGAACTGCGTTGGTCTGTTCCTGCATCTCTCGGTTCACTCTCTGAAAACAAGGTTGAAGAGATTTCAGAAAGTTACTCAGAGATGTAGTCAGTTGATGTTATACATATAATGTATGTGCAGTATAATGCATGCAAACATACTGGCAAGCTCAAAAAGATCGGGCTCTTCTCTCGCGACTTTTTCTCGGGCAACATCAGCGATCGGGCCAAATATCACCACAGGTCTCAGGAAACCAGCTGCACAGAAATATTAAAATATGAACAGACTGAGCTATAGTTTCAAGTTGACATATAGGCCATTGGACATTGATAAATCCCTCACCCTCTCTCAGAACGACCCTTTCATAAGCCGGGAACTTTGTTTGGACTGGCTGTGAGGAGAGGTCTTCCCGGCTCTTCCTCAGGTTCCTCTTGGAGCTGCGAAGACCACGAAACCTCCAGAAGTCGGCCCTGTCGCCCCCTGCTGTTTTAGGGAGAGTGTACTGCACACTGGACAGCTGCTCCGCTCTGTTGACAAACACATGTATTGTAACAAAAGCTAATGTATGAGTCATACAATTGCCACAGGTAACGTCAACACTGCAATTAACCAAATACACTAGATGGCAATGATAATATTAACATGTTTATCATAAATAAGGTACATTACTGACTGGTGTAGGGCTGTATTACTACGTTTGTTTTTTTAATATTAAAACATTTTTAGACTGCAGTCAAAAATTAGGGCTTTGAAGGATAAACGCCAACAAATATGTATTGCAGTAGATTCAATTAAGTCTAAAAATTACAACACATCATGTTCAATTTTTTTTATATACTTGACTGACAATGCTGTTCTTCACACAAGGTGTTACCAATCCTACACAAACTCGACTGGAATCTAATTCTGCCCTTTTGATAATATTTATAACATAAGTATACCCTTATCTTTATCTGCAACTGTACAGAAATAGCGGGCTTATAAAGAACAGATGAAAAAAAGAAGAAGAGAATGCTGCATTCAAATGTTGAATTATAATTCAATAACCGCATAATGAATGAGTCTTTCAACCAGGGGTGTCGAACTCAATTTCATCTCGGGCCACATTAGCATCATGGTTGCACTCAAAGGGCCAGTTTTATATATAAGACTATATAAAAACACATATATAAATATTTAATATATATAAAATAATGTATTATATTACATCATTGCCTCTACATTGGATTATTATCGGATAGGATAATAACTTCATAATTAACTACGTCTGAAAGCAGAAGTCTAGGGCAAATAATTGCAAGCCTCTTCAGTGAGAATTTGACAAAATGATTAAAAAAGAAAAGCCACATTTTGGAAAAAAAAGTCAAAATAAAATTAAAAGACATTTTGAAAAACAAAAGTGACATTTTGAGAAAAAAGCAGATTCTGAGCAAAAGGCAAATTCTAAGAAGAAATGAATATTTTGAAGAAAAATGGTAAGATTCTGAGAAAAAAGGCAAATTTGAGATGCATTGTGGGACATGTAGTTTATGGGCAACGTGCTTCTGTAAATCGGCATGTAACCGTATAATAAACATATTATATTCTTAGCACGCTCTAGTGGGGCCACAGAAAATGAAGTCACGGGCCGGATTTGGCCCCTGGGCCTTGAGTTTGACACCTCTGCTTTAAACTATTTGGTGCAGCCTACATGCACATCACTGTTTGAGATAATTGACAAACAATTCAAACTAAAGCTCATAAACACGTCTGTCTGGACGCCCCTACCTGTTTTTGTTGGGGATGATCCCCCTCTCCACCTCTTGGTGGTTCTTTCCGATGCGAATAGCAAGCCAGGAGCCCAGCTTTCCGTTGTAGAGGGTGTCCACCACACGAAACACCTCTCCCTTGTTGAAACTCAACCCATACGGAGATTCCTTCTCATACTCAAAGTGCGTCCGGATGTAGAAGGAGTCACCGACATCTGACTCAACGATCCGTCTGTACACTGAACAGAATAAATCGAGTCAAAAACCTCTGGCCGCTGTGACCAACAACCCAGTCATCTCTCGCCTCATCTCCTTACTCACTTCACTTACCATCTTTCTTCTTCTGGGCTAGAATAGTGACCTCTTCACCCTTAGGAAGGTCAAGGAGGAACAGCACCGCCTCCTCTCGGATTATGTTTGCAAAATCTACATTATTTACCTGGAATTTAGGAAAACAGAGGTTACTGCATGAAGCTTTCCTCAGAACAGTGTCACTGGTGTGTAGTACTAAGTGAAGAAGTAGCTTGATTGTTCAAAGGAGGTGTGAATCTCTAAGTTGATAAAGGTTTACATAGCTCTTCATGTTCTGAGTATTGCCTAGGTAACTGCAGGTTTTACTGCACTGCAAGAACTCAAACTATTCCTCTTTTTCCCTTTTTACTTGTAGAAAGGAGGAGGAGGTACAAACAGCAAGATATATGGCTTTAAGGAAATGGGACAAACACAGCTAGAGGAAACAGTTTTTTTTGTGTGTGCTCCCTCTGGGTCATTGCTAAGAGACCGGCCTGAAGGTACAGGAATTTCTAAGCACCCAGTGTTTTAAACCATGAATATAAAAAGGGAAAAGCTTGCACTGAGGATGCATACCCCATCAAACAGGCTGTTTACTGACACTATAGGGTGTAGGAGAGGAACATAGAAATAGTTTTTGACATTTCAATCTCAATTTAACAACTCCTTGTTAAATTGATTCACAAACAACCACTTGATTTCAGGCGGTCAGGTCATACCCTTGCTTTGTTAAATCATAAAGTATCTCACCCTGAGAATTTGGTCGCCCTCCTCCAGGCCCTCCTTAGCAGCTGGGCTATCCTCCAGCACGCCGGCTACGAAGATGCCCACGTCGTTCCCCCCCGCCAGACGCAGCCCCACACTCTCCCCCTTCTTAAACTTCACCAGCTTCATGCTTGGCCTGAGGAAAGGGGATGAAGACAATACTTAAGCTTATTTATTTCAACATGACACTATTTGCTTGGCATTTCCCTCTTTTCAATGTAAACCTCCATTTATGTCATCGTTGAGTGACTCTTGGATGCCCTCCAGATTTCTCTTTTGTTGACTTGATTTAGTCTTTAGTGAGCGTACAGAAGCAAAGATGTAAAATTGTTCTGTCGAAAGAGAGGGAAACATTCCTACAGGGCATTTGAATATCATTTAACAGTTTTGCTGGAGACAGAAGTAGCCACAGTAAACCGTTTCTCTCACGCACAAACATTGTGCATCCAGCCATAATAAAAGCTGCTTATTCAACTTGCCAACAAACCCGTGTGTGCAGAAAAACACATTTCTTAACAGCATTGAACTCTATGCCTTGGGCAGCCAAAATGCTTTGTGCAGACAACTGAGGGAGCATTTAGGAAACCGAAAGGGCTGCTCCAAGATGTGTGCTGTGGTTTGCCCTGCAGCCACGATTCCTTCCTCACAATTGCCTTTTTGTATTAAGTCAACAGAGGCTGAAGGAAGGAGGCACTCACAAATGCCACATATCAGGAGACTTTAATGGTTACCATATTATACTGTTAACATTACCGTAGGATGCCATCGTCATGGGTAGCGCTTGGCACGGGGGCATCAGAGGGGCTGACTGGCAGGTCAACATCTGGCTGTCCAGGCTGAGCATACACAGGCTTTGGCTCTGAATACAAAATAAAACACACACTTCATTTATCACTGCAGACAGATAATAAACATGTTAAACTGCACCAAACATGCTTAAAACAAAAGATACTCCTTGAAACACAGTTGAAACAATACTGCAGACACACATGTTAAAGTCAGAACAAGTGCATTAATGAAGTGTTTGAAGCAGGCAGTGTTATCACACAGACGCTTGCACACAAATCCACTGGAGGCACAGAGTGTCCTGAGCGCGGAGGTCGAACAGAAAGGCAGCAGAGTGCTGCAGGCTGAGAGGAACGTCAAACTCGATCAACTCATACGGTCTATTTTCCCTTGGCTCCGGGCGGACTCAGCCAGGCTCAGCAGGCGATTGGATCCAACTTTTATTTTTCTCTAGTCGTGCTTTTAAAAAGGGCAAAAATGACTGGTTCAAACAAGACTTCATTTTATAATGAAATAAGAAAAAGAAATGTTCTGCTGCTCATGAAGGACAGGGAAAACCAGCTACATGTTGTATTTGCTAACAAGTCACAAGGTACAATACAGAATGTAAGGATGTACTGACTCGTCTATGAGTTAATTAGTTACAATATCCCCTTGTTTCTTTATCCTAAGGCTTTTTATCACCTCTGTCAACTTTAATAAGTTACTTGGAGTGAGTTCTAATGATATGATGCAAGATGTACAGGAAACAACACTTTATAATTGTTCGTTTTTTTATCAACCTCTTTTTTTTGTGAACACCAGTGCATGTTGATCTGGTCTCAGTTAGTGTTGACTGGGATTTATGCAGTCTTGTCATGGAAAAAAAGGTAATTGATAGAGATGTCCCGATCCGATCACGTGATCGGGGATCGGAGCCGGTCACGTGATTTTCAAAAGATCGGAATCGGGACAAAAAATCGGGGATCGGGATTTTTTTTTCTTTTCAAATACTTTTTTTTTCTTTTGTATTCAATGTTACAAAACAAAAATTACCATGTTCAAGTGTTAAAGTCATCCTGAGGCCTTAGTTTTGGTTTCAAATTACACAACATCATGTATGTGTTGCTTCTTTGGGGCTTGTTTTCATAGACCTGGTTGCTTATTTCTCTCAAATCTGGCAACAGAGTGGGCAGGGCGCAGTGTCTAATTGTAGCAGTAAGCTAACGAGTACTGAAAGCTTTATTTAGTTTTGATCCAATGCAGCAAAACTGAACTAATCCAATGCTGCTGTGAAAAAAATAAGCTATATCCATGTTGGATAGAATATCCAATTTAAATAAAAAAATAACCTTAAGGGACAACTTGAATGCTTTTTTTTCTCTTAATGCATTGCATAAAGATCGGATCGGGAAAAATCGGTATCGGCAAATTGTCAAAATCAAATGATCGGAATCGAATCGGGAGCAAAAAACGGTGATCGGGACATAATTGACAAACATATTTCGTTCAAGTACACAAACGAATCACGTTTAAATGCAGATTCCTCTCTCACGGACCTGGGAGTGGAGGAAGTTGTTTCTCCTCTCTAGCAGCGGCCGCCTCCTTGGGTTTGGGCAGAGGAACCTCCTCCGGGAGCTTCACTGGGGTTGAAGACGGCTTCGAGATTCGTTCGTCATCACGACTTCTGTGACTGCTACAGAAATAGATGTTTTTGTACAATTTATCTTTAGAAAAGGAATATGTGAGATTATAAATAGTGTATTCTGCAGATGTAGAGCTCGGAGGCAGGAGGAGAACTTTAAGGCTACATCTCGACTACAAGCAACAAAACTACAGCTGAACACCACTCAACACAAAACCTGAGATGAGTTCAATTCTCTCCTGACTGCAGTGGACACGCACTAGCTGAGAAAGAGAAATATTATGTTAGTCTTGAAGGTCGCTACTTTGTCAGTTCACTCTTGTATGCTCTGTTTTACAGCAGCTTATTGTTAGCATTTCACTGTTTGGCTTTGGCAGTAAACCAGCACAGGTTTGACTTTGATGCCAGTTAATAAATAAAAAACAGTCAGGCTGCGTAAGCTCTAACTCACAGTGACCTCGGCCAATTGCGTGAGAGTAAATTATGACAGAATTTCCCCGTGTTTTGATAAATGCAGAGTTTCCCGATGTGTTTCAAAAGATAAATCAGACGGGAAATGAAGTAAGCAGAGCAGGATCTGAGGCTCTCACCTCCTGCTGGCACAACTTCACTGGCAAAACACTGCTTTTATTGTGATTAGGTAACAATCCGATTTGAACCGGCTGCAGAGCGACACATCTCTTTTCAAACCCCTCCAGGAGGAGGCCCTACTTTTAACGGCCAACTTCCTGAACTGAAAGAAAAGGTCACAGGTCACTGATCCACGTTCAAATAAATAATAACATCCTGTCCTAAGTAATCCTTCCTGTTCATTAACATACTCACTCCAGTAGTTGAATGTGTCATAAATGATTAATCAACAACATATTCATAAATGTGAACGGTGCCCAAAAATACAATCTTTTCAACCAAATGTGGCCAGACATCCACAGATATAAAGAGAATCCTACAAAAGCTCAGCCACATGGAAAAGGGATGACAGTTGACAATAATAGCTGCTGACGGGCTTTTGTTCCTCTCCTGTTGGAGTCATGTTGTCTTTGTGCCAAACGTGTGGTTTGCCTACCAAAACATTAAGAGACACGAGGATCCTATGACACTTCCACCGGACTCTATCATCTCAAGTCAAAACAAGACAGCGCCCTGAATAATTGATGATGAAAATTATCCGCATTATTATGAAGTAAGGTCTTCCTGTTGGAGACACCTTTACCAAACATTTCTGGCAAGAAAATCTGTTAAATCTGTGACTCTGAAACCCCCTCAACTAAAACTAGATCTACATGTCTATTAATCTACATTCATTATATCCAGGATTTACTACCAACACTATAGCTAACTACTCACACCGAGTTATGGTGACAAACTTACGGTATTCTCCAGCTGTTAAGGGAATACAAAGGGCAGACAAATCAAAGTGTTGGTGAGACTGTCCTTTTGCTAATACAGTTCCCATCATCTGAAAGACTTTTCCAGGTACCACATTACACAGAGGATGTTAAAATCTAAACACAAAGTAATTTAGGTTAAGCTCTGTACTTTTACACTAAGCAGACCATCATTTTGATCAAGGTTGTCTCTCTTTGCAGCTTAGCAGCTGACTTTTATTTTGCTCGGGTCAATAAGCAGTGTGAAAGGGGAACCACTCTGGTGCTCTATTGAGTTTAAATGAAGAATTAATGAGGTTCTTTTAAACAAGGTTACAGTCACAGAAGTGCTGAATGGGCTGATGGCTTTTATTAACCCAAACATAAAATCGAAGGTCCTTCACAACAACAAAAAAAACAAAGAAGCCTTCTTAATAAACGTTGACAGGTAAAAGCACAAACACAATGATAAAATCAGTTATATGAATAGCTCTTTAAAATAATAATATAGCTGACTATAACCACACAAACCATTCATTATTAATAAAATATTAATTAATGAGCCAATTATTTCCTCAACTAATCATTTAATTTCAAATTGGTCAGAAATGTGTTTCAGCTCTACCTTCAAATATGAAAATGTTTAATTGATCACACGATAGGTCTTTGCTGTTATTAATATCGTTTTGTTAATATTACATCTCTGGTGGTAACAAATCACATTGCGTGTTTTCTTAACACTTTGATGCCAGATTATGCATTTTCTTCACTTTTTGTGATTTCTTTTTTGTTGAAATCCTAATTATTGTTGCTGCTGTGATGCTACTGTTTTATGAGCAAACAAGAGATAGATGGTGGCAAAAATAAAGAAGCAAAACTAAAATGACAGATTATGATTCAACACAGTTTTTGTTTCCTCCGTTACAGCCAAGAGACTGAAATATAAATATATATTAATGTATGTTTGTATGGATTTTACCTGCCGTTGCTGATCTGTGGAGGCGAGTGTCGGGCGTGGTCTGAGGGTTCAGATCTTCGGTCTGGAGAGCGCGAGCGGCTGCTACGATGTCTGTCATGCGATCGATTTGAATGGTCGGATGCCAGCGAATGGATATCTGAAATGTCTGATCAAACAAAAGAGACACTGCTCAACGACTGAAATACACACGGAAACACTGGCTTTTGAGCCGATCCTCATTCCTGCCCAACACTAACTCACCGTCTCTGTCCGAGGCGTTGGCTGAAGCGAGGCTGTCATCGAGGTCAGGGATGTTCAGCAGGGTCGCCCTGTCGTCCCTCTGAACCACCATTTTTAGTTTGCCCTTTGACCTTTCTATCAGCTTCTTGGCATCTATCAAGGAGAGGTTCTCTGTCACTGTGCCGTTAATCTGTGGGAGTCAGAGAAAGAAGCTATTAGCCATGACATGACAAAGATATAGAAAATAAGAGAGATCAAACGAAGACTTCCTAGTTTCACATTTGAATGCAATAAAATGGTGGTATAAGAAGTTTAGCTTGAGTTACAAATGTATTGTGTGAAAGGTACACTGATTTGTCGGGATTAAATCAATGTGTAAGCTCAAATATGGGCTGTAGAACATTTGTAATTCTTTACTTTTATCTTTTGATTAAGCTCTCATTTCTTGAAACATGAAATAAGATCACATGTGTTAGAAGGCTGGATGTGAGAAACGATTGGTTCAGGACAGCTACAGTTCAAAAAGAACCTAGAGAACAGAAAAATCCACTTGATACGTTCTCCAAAATGTGAAAGCACTGAGCTACATCAAGCAGGTCAAGCTGCAGCTACACTGTTAGTGCTGTTATGCAATATTAGATTGGGAAAATAAATATAAGGAATAAAAAGCACAGCGACTAGAACAGCAGTAACTGTACAAGTAACAATAGAAAAATCCATAAGATAATGTTATTTTAAATTGTTTTCTTCATGTTCAACATCCTATGATCTCTCCATATCAAATGTTGATCATGCTTCCTGTCTTCCTCACCTTCAGTACCACGTCTCCCTCCTGGATGTTGCCGTCCCTGGCTGCCAGGCTCTCGGGGGAAATGTCCTTGACAAAGATGTGGCTGGCCAGGCGGAGGCCATACTCTGCTTACAAAGTGAACGACAGCAACAAAGAGCATGTTAGCACAGAGTTCACGTGACCACACCGCACTGCCTGCACTTCACTGTCAAGCCGCTGCTCCCGCTGGGATTAACAGTACTGATTAAAGAAGATTAATTGCTCTTTTACTTAGATTTACTTGAGTGAACTTGGATTTTGCAAGTTGTGTTTACTATGGCAGTTGACCAAGGCTGATTTGGAGGTCTTATTCTCTCCTTAAAGCCGGGATCTAACAGTGGGGTTAATAAAAGAGAAGGTGACTTCCTTGATTACTTCAGAAAATCTTCTTTTATTTTAATTTGTAATTATTTGTTTATTTTTTATTAACATTTTTGTCTTTATTTCAGTTTATTTCTTTATTTTTTCTTGTTTTATTTCCCCCCCTTGCACTTGTTTGGTAACAAACAATACCATCTGATTATTCTCCCTTTTTATTTATTGTTAATGTGCTCTGTAACTCAATAGGTTGTTAAAGGGGTGTGGGAATGTGCTGCATATATCATTACTTTGTGAATTTGAACTGAATGTACGTGCCTTGTATCACTTGCTTTTGTGGAAAAAAACTGAGAAATCAATTAAGATATCTAAAAAGAAGAAAGAAAATCTTCTTTGTGCCCTCCTTTTTCATCCCCGACTTTGTGAGCCTCACCTTCATTTTTGCGGGATTTGACAAGTGTGACCTTGGCGGGGCGGGGGGGCAGGTTGTGTGAGCGGCGGTCTGAGCGTGGGGAGATGCTCCTCTCCCGCGAGCCGCTGCGTTCCCGTTCCCTGTCCCTCCGCCCGCTGCCACGCCCGCTGCGCCTGCTAATAGCCCCGCCCACAGCGCTGTAAGCCCCGCTGCGTCCGCTCCGCGTCTCGTATATCTCTTCGTCGTAGCTGTCCTCCTCCTCGTCATGCTCTGACATCGTTTCCCTCTCCCCCAGGCGGCCCATGGGGACATGCACCTTCCTCTTTCGCCTGATTGTCTGGAAATACGATACGACATCAGTTACAGGAATATGAAATCAATCACTCTCTTATCATGCACTTTCTCCTACTAGGCAATTCTGGAATATATAGGAAAAGTCTTAATAGAGTGCCACAGTGACGCGTCCTAAAACCCGGAAGCAAGCTTCTCCCGGTTCCTTCGCCAAAAAGCAATGAGATTTCTCCATAGGATTTTGGAAAATATCTGGAAATAAGGTCCGTGCTCGACACAAATTTAAGAGATAAATCACGTTTTGTTATACGACATTAAATACATCAGCAGTGACCTCACTGGTGATTTCTGAAGAGTTTACGTGTCTGAAAAACGATGGTTGTTAACAAGTGGCTGAATAGGACTACAGAAATTGTCGAGGCCGTTGTACGTCATTACACCGAACACGTAAACACTCCCGCTCCCTGCAAACTGTTAAAACAAGCGCTTCAACTTGTGCAATTTTGAATCTGTATTTTTGAATATGGATCTTAAGTTGGCGTGACGTTGAAGCA